CATTGAGTTCTGAACAATTTTGAGGGCATTTTGACCAGTCCTTACTCCGTCAAATGTAAGACTATATTTTTACTGGCTGTCTCCTGGAGTTCATTTCAGGGAACTGTCAAAGGTAAATGAAAAATTGACTGACATAAGATGAATGTCTGTGTGTGCTGTAATGTGGAGGAAACCAGTGGAGGAAACTGGTTGAGGGGGTGGGCTGGGTAGGAGGTGAGGAGGGGGGATGGGATAAGCATAGCTGGACAGTAAGCCCTTGTTTCAAAAGATAATTGCATTTCTCTCACCTGTTACCCTTTACAGGCCTTAAAGAGTGCCACAATGAGCTCATACTGGTGTGCTGGAAAGGGCGATGTCATCGATAACTGGTGTCGCTGTGACCTGAGTGCCTTCAGCAAAGATGGCCTGCCTAACTGCAGTCCCCTCAGGCAGCCGATGTAAGTGTGAGGTGACACTATGACACTTTGGAATCCATGCACATACACAAGAGAGGTTTTATGGATGCATGCACCAGTGCACTGCAGGGACACTTATACGCACATGGATATGCGCACACATACACACTTACCTGTCTCTCTCGACTCCAGGGGCACTTGAGAAAGCTGTAGACATAAGCACAGTCCCTGAAGTTCTAATAACTGTCAGTCGGCCCTTACACTTCCCTGACAAGAACATGCTCTCATTCAGGGTGTCCTAATAATACCCCTGAGCCTTTTGTGAGTCATCCGCCCAAGCGATTGTTGCCTTAAAAAATCTTTAAAAAGAAACAGGAAGTTGAAAGGGCAAGACTTCAGATGATAAATTATCTAAAGTCATAAAAAAATCATAACTAAAAAAATGAACAAACTGGATTCATTTTATTTTTGATTTGCATAATTAAAGCAGTAAATTGTATTATGGCACACATCATTAATGCATTCAAAAGAATGATCCCTATTATAGTTTGGTTGACACAGCGGATTATAAAGTCCAAGTCCAAGAAACTGACAACATAAGATCATATTTCCCTACCCTCCCAATGCATGGATACCCAAAGGCTGGAAGAGCAGCAGCAGGAGGAAAAACAGAATAGGTGCAAGTGATAACAGATATTGCAATCATTAAGCCAAGTATAGGCCCCCAATAAACCATCTACCTATACAATGTGTTCGTCGCCTATAAGAGCTAGCATAGGTTCCAACCCTTCTGCATCCCTGAACTTGATAAGTGTTTAAGAAAATGGGTGTATGGATACAAGAAAAACACAGAATGAAAAGAGGCCCTGGGGGTGGGGGGAGGTTGCAAAGCAGCTTGCACTTGCACAATTGTAAGTATCCTAAAGCACCGATAGTTTTCCCTAAATTAGAAGTTTTTCTAAATACATTTTTCAGAGTTTTAGCTTGAATGAATTGCTGACAGTTTGCCTTATTTTAAAGTTTTTCTTCCATGTTTTTAGGGCCATATGCTGCATGCATATGCCTCTTGACTGGCTAAGCCAGTTTATACATTCATTGAGGGTTTCTAGCTTACGTGTATAAATGGTATGGAGGTAACTGACTGGTCCTTCTCTTTGTGACTTTTTAAAGTTTTACTGGACCATTTAAATAGCAAAATAATCAGTTCCATCCTTTATTAACAGCTGTTTCTTTTGTAATGATTGTGCAGAGAAAACTCTGTGAGTTTTGGCAGTTCAGTACCATTCCTGTGGGCCCAAATGTTATAATATATGCTGACCCTTGACTTTTAAGCCAAGAAACAAAATAGATAGGAAGTGATATTGAAATCAGACTCTAGTTTATTTTGCACAGATGTTATAGAAGTACTCTGAAATGCATAAACCTTTTGACTGTTTTCTTAGTATTTTGTTTATGAATTGTGGTTGTTGACTTACTTGATGCCACAAACAGAGTTTTGGTTTCTGTAACTCTACGACCTGACAAAAAAAAAAGCCCAAGAGTCACTGCAGCTGCCAAAATCTCCAACTCTGGTTAGTGGTAGACACATTAAGAACCTGACATAAGTATTATTATTGTGTGTGAGGATAAAACTGAGCATCAAAACAGCTAACCTCTTTCATGGCATTGTCACAGACACAGCTGGAGAGCAGACAAAAATTGAAATGTTGTTCTTTTATCTCTTTTGAGGGATTAAAGGGGGAAAACTACACATGGAAAGCTGCTGGAGCACATGTGGCTTTGGAATGCTGTTTTGTTCCAAGTCTCTGTTTGCTATTCTGTTGTCAGATGACATATAGCTGGAGGTGGTGCACTCTCTAGTCCAACACAATAACAACAACACGTGGGATTCCCACTTATCCATTTGAGATTTATGACCATGCTTTCAGCATAAAGCATACGCTGATACAATCCTATGTGAAACTCCAGATGAGGATGCCAAATAGTTGTGGAAGCATTTTATCTCATTGTTCATATATGTCTGTTTTTTTGTGTGTGTTTTTTTTAATCTTATCTTGTATTCTCTGTATTGTTTAGTTTGCGCCTATCCCCTTACCTGGAGCCCTCAAGCACAATGGTCGCCCTGGAGTGGATGGATGTGGAGCCTCTGATTGGCTGCAAAGTTTCTGACTACATCATCCAGCACAAACGAGTGGAGGATCCCTCAGAGGCAGAGATCTACACAGGTAGAGGAGCTTAAATTGGCTAAAAGCATCTTTTTAATTAAGCTTTCTTATTGTTGGTCTTTGTTCCACATATATTCATAGCAACATATAAAAGTACAAATAGTTACATTCACAAACACAAAAGCTGAGAATAAGAAATGTTTATACTATTGATTCTATAATAAATAAAGTCTGTTATGCATTGAGTTAGAAGCCTAACCTTTATGTTAGGAGATCTGAGATGGGATTGGGCTTGCAGGAAAAGCAATTACCCACATCAGGTGATGTACTGCTGGAACACTGATGAGCTTTAGGACAAGCTGGAGTGAGAGACTCCTTTTTTTCAGATTGGTGATGAAGCGATGTCGGAAAGGAAGATGAGAGATTTCACTGACAGATACAAGAATAAAGATGTTTAATGAGTTGATTAGAAGACTCAAATAAGAAGAATTAAACTTACATTTGCAGTGAATGAGTTTAAAGCTTTTGTCTGGATACAGAACAGGCGTGGGAGTTCAGACTGAGGATGGGAGAAGATGACGTAGGACAATTTATCAGGGACGTAAATGGTACTGACCGCTGCACTGTGGGGATAGGGGAATGGTCATGGTAGTGACGGGAGGTGGGGTGAGTCAGGGAAAAGGGCAAGATTTAATAATATTGGAGAAATGAGATGGTCTGGCTTTAGACACTGGGATGCACGGACAGGCCATCCATCATCCAGGGGAGGAGCTAATGAAGCGTGGGCACCAGAGAAAGAGAGGGCACAGATAGCTAGACAGAGCCATGCTGGCAGAGGTGAGGTACGGAGGGGCAGATGGTGTGGGTGACTCACTTTGCTATGTGCCAGTCACCACTCTAATTCATGTTATAACAGAGAACAATGCAGATTGAAATCATTGTCTTCATCTTTTGTCTTTTTAACTTTATTCTGTGTTTTTTTTTTCTTTCTGAACTTTCTTTAACCCTTTAAAGCTGGTCAGAGCGGACACGCTCCATTTTGCGTAACTATTTTTAAATCCCGGTAGCTCTGCAACCATGTAAGCTAGCGCAATAATTTTTTTTTGCATATGAAACCGGAGGAGTTGTACTTACATCTTATGCCATCAGCTTGTCCTCGGTCACAGTTTCCTTCCACATATAGCTTTGCAAAAACTGCATAAAAAGCACTTGCAGCAACAAAAACATAATATTCCAGAAACACGCTTTACCGATCAGCTGTTTGTAACACTTCCTACGTCCATCAGCGTGAACTATCGCATGTCCGCCATGACCTACCCGAAACCGGAAGTGACGTCATTTTGCGGAAATGTAGTTTTTTACCATCGTGGCCTCATGAGCTTATACTTGTATTTTTAAAAGTTATGTTTGACTTTATGACTTTCTGTGTCGTTTCTGGGATGCTTAGGACTCATATTGCACTGCTGGAAATAGTTTATTTTGATGCATATGCTGCTATTTTGCAAATTTGCACTGTAATATATTTTTTTCATTTTTCCTGCAGTATATGAAAATTGGTGTATCTCAAAAATAAAACTATGAAGACACTCAAAATAAATTTCCTGTGGTGGGAAACTAGTTTGTGCAACTTTTTTGTATTTACAGTTTTGAGGGATAAGCCTCTTAAATTTCTCTAACTAGAAATATATGTTAAAAA